TCTGGTCTAAGATGAGCCCTCCTGGGTGAATCCAGAGTGGAGCCTCCTAGTGGCATCACTCACAGATCTGCTTGCCAGTCAGCCCTGCCAATGCAACACTGATCGATGCACCGAGTTCCTGGCTGTACATTCACCTTCATCCATCCTTAGGAGAGAGCAGAAGAGAGAGTACAGAGGGATAGAGAAGAGAAAGATGGAGATGTTATCATCAAGAGAGAAGCAGAGCCAGAGAGACGAAGTTAGAAGAAAAACCTCTCTCTCAGTGCCCTGCAGAGTGAGATAAATAGGAGGGGCAGTCTGATCCATGAGCTGATGAATGATTGAGCTAACACCTCCCCCAATAGCCTTCCCATCACCTTCCTCTTCTACACACATCCTCACTCCCTCTGTTTATTTATTTACTTCAGCAGAGCAGCGTGGGACCAGAGAGGAGAGGTGATGAATGGAACGGAAAGTCGTACAGGGCAGGAGCAGCATTTGGACTCTGTGTGTATGAGTGTGTGTGTTGTTCTTCTATCGCTGTGAGAACTAGTCTCAGGCCTTTCAAGTAATTACATTTTTGCATAGTGATGTAACTTTGGTCAGTCCGCATTTCTTCCAGAGGCCAGTTTATGGTTAGTAAATTGGGGTTTAAGTTTAACAATGAGATTAGAGCAAGCAGTTACCACCTAGAGCCAAATGTTGAAGCCAGAGTGAAAGTGCATCAAGATTCAGCTTCCAAGAAAAGTCTCACTGCACTGACGTCAGTGGGAAAGACCCAAACTTTTCTCTCAAAATATGAAGCCCAAAAGAACTTCTGGTCTTAGTGTGTTTACTCAGTACTTTTAAAAACAGTGCTGAGGAAATATGTTGAGATTTGTGTTGTTGAAGACAGAAAAGAGTCATAGGATTATCTGGAAATGTAACCCAGGTAGTGACGTTAATATAAACGTTGTCCAAATTATGTTCCCAGTAAAACTGTCTCTTGGCCAGTGTGAATAGCCCATTCAAACATCTGTATTTCAAGTAGAGAAAGTAAATGTTGAAATGTGAATGTCACTGTATTCATGTTTGTACAGGTTACAAACAAGTCACAACAATGTCAGAAATTTACAATTTACAAGTCATAGTTACTCAATCCACTGCAGTGTTGATCAGCATTATTTAATACAACTCTGATGCATAAAGACAAAATACTCTAATCTGCCCCAGATTTCAAAGGAACACTTGAGAGGACTTTGAGAGTAGGTGAGAAGATCTTAGTATATAAAATGAACATGAGGCTATAGCCAGAAGACGTTTAGCTTAGCATAAAGAATGGAAACAGGAAACCTTGGCTCTCTCCAAAGGTAAATGAATACGCCCACCAGCACCTCTAAAGTTCACTAATTATTACAGTGTGTCTTTTTTGTTTGTTTAATCCGGACAAAAACTGAATTTTGCCAGGACATTTCTTGGCCAATCCATGACATTCTGCAGTCTTGTAGTCAGTGTGATGTTTCCAGGCAACCAGTGGAGACTCACTGCAACCAGCCAAGAAAGCGGCTAGCTGATTCCCCCTGCTTCCAGTCTTTATGCTATGCTAAGCTAACTGTCTCCTGGCTGTAATTTTAAGTTTGGTGTACAGATGAGAGTGGTGTAAATCTTCTCATTTCACTTTCTGCAAGATATCAAATGAGCATACTTCACAAAATGTCAAATCATTCCTTTAATGTCGGCTGTCATTGACTCAGTTCTATCATCTGCCTATTACAAGGACTCTCTTGCAGAGCCTTTCATGCAAACTTGGGATGGGAATGAGAAACCTTGAAGTACAAAAGACACATTGAAAGAACTTACAAGTAGAGGTTTACATGTAATACAATCACATACAGAGTTTGTTGTTTCTGTGTTTTTCTTCCACGTGATTAAGCAACATTAGAAATTCCTCTGCTCAAGATAATCAGGTGATGTCATAAAGCGCAGTAACGGTCCTTATATTCACACCACCCTTGCAGCCTCATGCACTCACACATTTTCGCTGAGCATGCAGGTGACGTTGATAAAACTCTCTGAGGGTCCGGCGCTTACACAGGATGGATATTGAGATTGAGCCAGTGGTGACAGCATCATGTTTGTGCTGGCTACCTGCCAACTCAGTCTTCTTACCTTAAGGCTTGTGTGTGAGTGTAACTTTTGTTAACTTAATCAAAAACAAACATCATTCATTCAGTGTTGTCTCTCAAATCCTCCCTCAGGAAAACTGGATCTTTCCAACAAGTCCTCCAAGTTAAAGTGACAAAATACATTGTTTGCCCGTGCCCTCTAGGACGACACACATACCCCTATCAACAGGGATGAAATCCTTTGTCTTTGCCTTCCAATGCCACAAATCACCAATAAATGATATGTTTTCAGATGTGACAATGCTATGGTCAAACATGACATTGTTAAGTTAAGGGAAATATCTTGGTTTGGGTTAAAATGACAACTTTGTCATAAATAAACAGCTGGTTGGGGTTTGGGAAGAAACCAACATTGATTATTGTTTGGAAACAGGAAGATAACAGCGGCCTCTTGTGTTAAGGTCCGATGTTTTGTTGAGCCATCCATCCATCTCAACCTCTTGCCTATATGTGGACTCTATAATAACGTCACCTGACTTCCTCCTTTGCTCGTATTTACTTAGAGATAGAGATCTTTGTCACATGTAAATGTTTCATTTTTGGGGGTTTCTTACAAAGTCAATGGAAAGATACAACTGGACACAAACCAAACCAAGTGACAAAAAATTATACTTTTAATTTTTATTTAGATTGAATTAGATTTAGATTAATTCAGAGGAAAATCAACTAAACTGTAGCAGCTGGAACTGGACGTGACTGGTGTAACAGGAAGAAGTCTTTAGGAAGAAGAAATTGAGAGCTATGATCACTTCCTCTCTTCCTCGCTTCCTCCATACAAATTTGACACAGAGAATTTCCATCTGAGTGTGTGAATGCTCTCTGCGCTCGTTTATTGAC